GTAGCCATAGACTCCAACCTCTGGATGTTGCAGTTTACGGGCCTTTCAAAACAAGATATTGAATAGTTATGAACGAGTGGATTGTGATTTAAGACTGGTAAATAACTGATTTTCACAGAAATGAGCAATTTCACAGTTCTCCAAAATACTCGATAGAATTGACTGTGAGGCAAATTGTTTGGAAGATTTTTCTTGTTCTCTTTCGCCATCGGCATCGTCAAAGGTAAAGGTTTTTAGCATTGAGGAAATCTAGCAAATGCATTTGCTCACCTTTTCCAAATGTTTTTTTCCTCGTTTGGAAGTTTCATCCCAATAGAATAGAGTTAATCAAAAAAACCATAACATTAAACCACAATTCATTAGTTGTCAACTATTTCAGGTCTAGATGTAATTATATTTGGATTGTACTTGATAAAAATGGGGATTTTTTAAAATTTGTCAAATCCTTTGAGAACAAAGAGTTTTGGAATAGTTTTAAATGAGTTCTAGTGGATATGAATGCTATTTTTACTGCGTGTCTGCTATGTTCAAGCAATAAAATGTTGAAGTATGATGGTAATAAATTATTCAAAATTTTAGAAACAAACAATAGTGTAATTTTTACAAAATTAACGGAAAATCAATTATGTATTTGAAATCAGAAATTACCGAAGGTGTAAATATTTATGTAAAGCCGTTCGTGATATCGATTATGATGCCTTTAAAGTGGATAAATGATTTTTGTAAGTATTCAATTCAAGTGTTCATTGAATAACATTTGGGTATAGCTTACATTTTTAGATATAATTTTTATTGTAATACTTAAGTATACTTGAATAAAACTTCATAATTCTTTTTTTTTTGTTACTGAAATATGATAAATCAATTTTTATATACTCACTGCAGTCATATTTTACCCAGCCGAGATCATTTTAAACTTAATAATCGGTACTAAACAAACAATTTACCTATTTTTGCATGTTTTATATGTAATTTTTCAAGTATTTCAAATTGTAAATATAAAAAAAATCAAGTTTTTCCCATTATTCACAATTTGGAATTAATTCGCCGTTGAAATTCGGTATTTAATATCATCGACATCACCAGATAATTTTATCGAAGCGACATCAAGACAATCTCAACTTGTGTCTGATTTACATTTTTACTGCAGTTTTCCAGAAATAAACCGCGTTATTTACGATAGTTGACATTATAAATCGTGTTTTCCACATATTCATGTGTCTTCAATTTGAAAATATCTACACTGATATTATTGGCATATACTTTACAAATGTAACCAACTTTTTAATACATTTTTTTCCACTTTCTTTCTTCTCATTCACGATTCAGGCATAGATTAAAGATTATTCACCAATTCACAAATTTTCGACAATATTATTATTGTTGTTTTATGTACCTTTACATCGACGAATCAATAATTGAATCAATTATCACTTACAACTTCTATATGATAAAAACAATTCGGAAACAGAAAATGAATTTAGGAGCAAAACAGTCATGATTTCGCAAAATTCTATTCTTCGATCAGGGTCATCAGTTAATTGGTGGTATATAGTTCTAGTAAAAGATATAGTGCCCCCTACCTCCCAGCAGTTCCCCTTTAATAACAAACACAACGCGGTACTCATCGCTACAATCTGTTGGTCACCGTAACATGACATCAAATTTAATGTTATGACTCATCAGCCAATCATAAAACACGGTTAGTAAAAATTATCCAATACGAACAGGCAATTCTTCAGTCCACGTGGACTAATTCGTTGCGGCATAATTCCTTTGTATTGGTTTTTTGGCCTTTGACTTCGCCGACACCTTTAAGATTACTATATCGGTTACTTCGACTATACCATTGTAATTTTGTATGGATGATACCTATTCCTCTTCAAAAGTCTCAACACAGTAGGACATTCGCGACGGAATAAGTAGACTGTTCAGGATTTACTACCATCTCTCCAATTATTTTCACTTGCTGTTCTTCCGGAATGGACGGATGACCTGGGGCTTTTTGTTAAGTACACTTTAGGTAGTTCTGAGTTTGGATACAATTCTCTCAAATATTTTCTACTGATAGGATCGAATATTCGGAAAACGTTCATTGAAAATCCTTTCGGTCTCGTGGCCTCGCACCGTAAATAGAAATCGCTTCAATTTTTTTTTTCCAATGGACGAGAATTGGTAATTTTAGAGATTGTTGACGTGGAACCTTTCTACTGATAAAACCGTAAACTAAATGAGAATATTCTAGATAACTGAACAATGATGTTCATTGTGGTACTGACATTTTTGACGCTTTAATAAACAAAAAATAACTTAACAAACCTTATCGGGTTGTTGGAACCGCCATATGGCAGATAAAAAGGAATATTTCTAGAAATATCGATATTAATGTGTTTGTCTTCAGGAACTTATTAAATGATCCGCCATTTTGTAGTAGGTGAAGAAATTGACTTCATATTCTAGGGTTGTGTAGTATTTATCAAGAGCTTCAAAATGGTGTGTCACAGTCGCCATTTTGAAAGTTTATCTGTCAATTTCACTTCAAAATAAAGTATTCTTGCATTAATTTCATCAACCCAAATTTCAATTTTTTGAGTTGACCAGTTCAAAAAATAAAAAGGGGGAACATTAACGAAATGCACTGAGAAGTTTGACATCCATTTTGTCCACTTTGTAAAAGTATATTATTATGGTATATTATCTTCTGATATATTCTTGAATACATTCACATTACATGTAAAAAAAGCAATACCGAATCCCGGGAAGTGAAATAGCTGTTATTGTTACCAGTTTATAAAAGTTTCATTATTTTTCAAATAATGAGTTATAGATATAGGTATAGATATACGATATAGGTGGCAGAAAAGGCCTTTTAGTCTAAAGTCTATCCAAATCCAAGATAGAGTAAAACAAAACAAAACTGAAGCGTGATGTTCACGTGATCGCCCAGTGTCAGATGGAAAGGGCAGCGTTCATTGGTGAATTTGCCTTCTTGGTACGAGTTCGGTACCAGCACAGGGTTGTAATCAGTCTTTTTCGTGTTTGTGTGGCGTGCGTTATAGTACCTATATTGTTTAAAATTATTGTTTTCCAAGATGTCCAGTACAGACACTGCTGATGACACTGTGAGCTATCCTCTGAGTCCAGCCAGGAAACGATCCAAAAAAGACATTTGAATGTTGAGATGAAAGAAGTGATTTTAAATGTGTTCAAGAAAGAGATGGAAGAAATTGAGACATCGNAACTGCAAAACTTGTGCATTTCACTCGTTATTATAAAAAAGTTTTCCTAAGTATGATATAGCATTTGCGATCAACAAGATGTTGGTTCTGAATACGACCCTGGCCAATTCTTGGGATTTTCAATATCACGTGCGTACTTAGGGCATGTCAATTTTTACATCCACTCTATTTTGGATTTGAATTTGCTTTAGTATACCTAAAAAATCTGAAAAAGAAGTATGGCAAAGCCTTAAAGTATCGTTATCTCAATTAACTTTAATAAATGTAAGGACATCTTCCGAAATCCCTTAGATTTATGCCCCTCATAAATATTTACCGCAGACGCCAGCCAAACTACAGGGGGTAACCTAAAGTAAGGATTACGCAGTAGTGATCAGCCTTTAATCTCATTATAATTATTACACAATTGGTTTGTTTTCAGAAAACCAAGATGGTACTTGAAACTACCGAACTTTCGTTTATGATTTTGTTGGAGTCTCTGTAAAGGTATTCATCTTAAATTGGCAGAGTGCAGTGTAATTCATATTCTTAAGGAGGTGAGAGATACTGATATTGAGAATCTGTTTATACTTTGCCATGCGGACATTGAATGGACTATGAAAACATGTTAATAAAACTTTCAGACAGGAAGTCGTTCGACTCACCCTCAAATGTGAAATAGAGACCTGTTTTCTTTGCGCTTTTCAAAGCCAATACAGTAAGTTTGAAATCCTTTCCAAAAAAATACCTATTTATAATAATTACCGAGTTTATTGCTTACATGAAATCTAACTTAGTACTTAAATACCATTTTAGTGTTTTTTTATGTATGAATTTTTGTTCATTACTAAGTTTTGTGATGTATTTTCTAGTTCCTAGTTTAAAAAAACGTACAGTAATTAGAGAAAAATTTTTGTCGAAAGTTGTGTATTTTTTATAGGAGGACAAAAAAGTTTGGAGGTGAAAATATTCACCATTTTTGTATTATTAACTGCTATATCTATATGTGTATGTTTTCAGAAATATTGTTTCTATTAAAAAAAAGTTTGAATTTTACAGAAACTATTGAAATAATAGAAATACACTTAGAAAACGAGAAAGCTATTAAGTTTAAACTGTCACTTGCATGTGAATTTTTTTCAACCGATTGACCGTTAGTTAAACCAGCAATGTGTAAACACTCCCTCCTGGATGCGAAAACAAATGTTTAATTGAAAATAAAATACCTAAATACATCCCGCTTGCAGTGGACACACGCAAAAATCAAAGGTAATCCAAAACTCTATCCGTCGGTAAACACTTTCAATTCCGCCGGGAAAACAATCACAAAAACAGCATCAGTAACCTCTTGTCCATCGCACTAATCACCTGCACTCATTCGATTATGGGAAAATTTTTCAGTTCACAAAACACCACTGAGCCACGATTGTTGTAAACAATGTGTGAACTGTGGCCGCTGCCTCTAGCTAGCCAATCCACCAAACATAAGACAGTCCCATATTCACTAGGCACTGACCACTAGATCACTTCGCGACTTATCCGATATCTCGCAGGAGAGATTGATTGTTATCATTTGAGATTTTTGACAAACTAATATTCGAATTTCAAACGGGACCGAGGCCCGCCGTCGTCCCCAGTCGTCACAAGTTCGTAACAGCAAGCATGACAAGTATGTAAAGTATTGTAGGAATTGTAGACACATTGCTGACATTCTAACGGATATTTGGGCCGAAACGCACAGAAAACTGTATGAAAAACGATCATAAATTGTAATGTACTTACCAAAATTGAAAATGTGAGCCTCTTCACCGACTTTATTGGATAATTAGGACGGATTTTGGTCCGTTAATACGAGGAGTTTGTCTGTTTGTGGTATGCTAGGAATGGTACAAAGAATCTGGATAACGCAAAGACTCGCGCGCACTCGTACTGCGCATAGTAAGCGTTCTAAAAGCCTGTTGTCGTCGAACCTCTCCCCGTTCCCTTCCATCAGCCATTTTCCAAATATAAATAAAAATGATTCTGTACTGTCAGCGACATCTAAGATGCATAGAACACACTACCTTTTTTTAATATATAAAGATTCCTGTCAGTTCTGTCATTTCACTATCCTCTCTCTGGTGGTTGAAAGCTGAAGTACTGCATGTGAAAAAATACAATTTCAGTATTTTGGAAATGATTTCAAACAGACATATTCTCTGTTAACAGGATGAGTCACAAGTAACGAGAAGCGAATATTTTCAATGAAGTTTCATGACAGGAATATGCAGATCATGTTTCACTCCTTTTCTTGACTTCTATGATAGGTTCTGTTCTAAGAGGATTTTCTATATCGAAATGCAGTTGATTCAGAGATATTGCAATTTAAAAAAACTCCTTTCATTCGTACAAAAACAGTTGTACAAAATATTTTGCAATTTGAATCAGAACTCTATACTCAGGATATTCTTCTATTCAACTTAAATGAATACCTTACCGAGCGTTATGTAACTTTCTATTGATGGAAATGAGCAAAGAGCAATTGTAATCATTCTGTTTTTTATTGAAAGAAACATGTTCGAAGATTTTCCAAAGTTCTCGTTACTCACTCTGTATAACCATTCTTCGAAGATATTTGCTGGGACTTTGTTTATATATATCTATGATCTCGAGGTGGGTAGTAATACTATCCTCAATCTTCCGTCATATCATTCAGCCACATTTCAGAAAAAATTTACTCCGGGTCGCAGAAATTTAAAATCAAAAGAGCAAATAGGATCTGCCTCACGGCAGTGTCAGTCATAAAAAATAAATTGAATAAAACTGATTATGAGCATTTGAACTGGAAAGAAAGCTGAATCATGTCTACCATAGACAATTATGAAAGATCATTGTGATTACATTTGTACAATATATCTAAAAAATTTCTGAGTTTATAGTTATGTATTCCTTTTATTTGAATTTAAGATATACACTATACATATCATGGGAAAACAAAAAATATACTCCAATGGGCTTCTGAAAATGTATGTAAGGATTATCTTACTTCCAAATGAATAATTAAATGGACATTACAATAAATGTATTCAATAAATTCCTGTATCTACATTTTTACATTACTCATCTTTAACATTAGTAACATTTTGTGTATCTGCCTTTTCTGTGTCTACAGGTTCCTTTTTCTTTAGCAACTTATCAAGCATTTTTGCTTCTTTGGCTTTTCGCCTTTCTTCTTTCATTGTTTTCTTCTGTTCCTTTTCCTTCTTCTCTAGAAGTTCCTTGAATTTTTCATCCTTTGGATCCACTGTATAACCAAAGTGTTGTTTAACTTCTTCAATCAACTTTTCTTTACGAGCCTGAAATAATAGTTGGTATGGAACATCAAAACAGACATTTGACTTGTAATTCAATTCTGTCAATGTTGAAGATGAAGTATTTATTCAGTAAAACCAAGTCAATAATTAATTCAGATTTGAAATTTTTTGTTTTATCAGTGATTTTAATAAAATCGGGTCCAGGTTCTGAAAGTAACTACAAGTCTATGAAGATGACTATGTGTATCATATCTTACTGTAGACATTATTTTAATTATGGAGTTCAATTTTTTTTAAAGGTCACTTTTATAATAGAATGTGTACAATGACTTGGACATACTCCACATAAAACACAAGCAGCAGTATAAATATTAATTGTAATGCAAATACCCTGTCCACTTGTGTAACTCTGCCTCCCAGAGGAGTTAATTTTCTTGCTGAGAGTACATTCTATAATATTCTCGGGTTTAAAGGTAATAGTGAAATAGGTATATAATTATTTTATTGGAATCATTAATGAGAAAATTCCTTTTACAACTACTATACTGAAAAATACATGTGATTTTATGTAAAGAAGGGGAATAATCTAAAACCTCACCACATATCGACAAGGGGGAGGGGGATTAAAAAGTTGTAAAAAGCTATATATCCTTGTCATTTAATATTGTACTTGCATTCAATTTATAGTTTTCCTGAAAGCATATATCACAAATTGTTAAAGAAAAAATACTGACAATTTAAGTGAAATTAACCAGTACTTACTTGCAGTTATTGAATACCATTACAATGTTAAATAACAATCAATGATGTCAATATTAGCTAAGCAGGTAGGTGGGAGATTTTTCGCCTAACTATTCAATATTGGTAAATCTTAAAAAGTTCATCAATCGCTTGGAATTTGCAATGAATAGTTGGATACAACAAGATAAGATTTTCAAATAATCTTATCTCAACCTCAACCATCCTGTATCCTGTTAGTATTACTATTTTGGTACTTTTTTGTACCCAACTGAATCCCACTTGAGGTGATGAATGTAGTATCAACACTTTCTCTTTTACAGTTAGATTTTTTGAGGTTAACATATGTCTTCATGAATTTTCTTTTTTAATTTACTGTTTTTGTGTGTAAGGTTGAAAAAATTTGTGTCAACAAGGTCATTTAGAGTGTTCATAATCATACTAGATAGGTAATAAAAATTCACATTTGTTACTCACCTTTGCAGCTTTAGCTTCACTTTCTTTTTTAGCAATTTTCTCATACAACTCTTTCTTCCACCCCTCCAGTTTTTCCATTTTCTCAATAATCTCTTTTTGTCGTGCTGCTTTTCTTTCTTCTTTAACTTTGCGTGTTTGCTGCGCATCAGCTACCATTTGTGGTATGCTAAACGGATACTTGACTCGTTCATATTCTTTCACATCATCCAATTCTTGTTTTATAGGCCAGCAGATAGACGGATCAATACCAGAGGCTTCTCCGTAACGACCGTAAGTTCTTCGCAGATATTTGAGAGTTCCGTGATGCCAAAACCTAGGCTCAGGGTAAGGATTTTTATCCATTAAAATACTTCTATCATGTCGGCGGAGACGTGATTTATTTCTTTTGGACTCTATTTCTTCCTCCTTTCGTTTCGACTCCTCATCAATAACTAAAAGATGAAAGGAGTTACAAAGAAGTCATACAATCTTTACATAATGCTATAAACTCACAGTCGGATTGCGTGAGAGACTCTCTTTCTATTTTTTCAATATCCACTTGTGAACTGCTAGAACGCATAAAAAATAGACCTCTAGGTATGGATGTAATTTTTTTTACAATTTCATGACGAATCATCATAAATCCCTTTTTTTGTGCAGTGTAAAATCAATAAGGGTTTTTATTAAACGTTGCTGCTCACCGATATCTACCAGACTTTTAAAAAATTATGTTTTTTCATTTCCTGATATGTGACTTAACCTCATTAAATAATTCAATGGTTATCGTGGAAGAAGAAACTTGACAAGACTCAAGAGAACCACTATCACAAGGTGGCGGTGTATATCTCAAGGAAACGAAGTGATATTTAGTTCTGACCGTTTTACGAAATATTATATTTGACAGTTCAACAAAAATTCTTTCAAAATCATTGGAGTAAAAGTATTGTTGACAAAAATCCTTTTTATTTTTTAAGACAACGCTAGATCAAAAGTAGAAGGCGACGCAGTTTTCAAAGTTAAATCATATGATACTTTTGTTAGAAGACTGGTCTATAAAAGTTTTTCATGAAATCAAGTCTTCACGGAATGAAATTATCTCCAACGAATTAAAGTGATGAGCGTTGAATGCAACTCAAAAGTAGGTCAGCTATATCAATTCCCAATAATATTGACTTTTGCGAACAAACTGATATTAGGTGAAAGGTTGTTGTTATAGTCATCTTTAGTTCAGACAGGTTGGAGCCTAGTTGTAGTTGCTACAATATCATTTCTGGCCAGAGTTTTTTGCCAGAAAAAGGAATCTGGTTGTTTCTAGACACGGTGAAACAAGTGTTGTGATTTTGTAAAATAATCTGGAAACAAGAAATGAATTAAATAATTATTTGTATCAAGACTTATTCGAGGGTGGGATACAAAAATTAGTAAAACAAATAAAATCTTTAATAAAAATTCAACAACTTCCCCCTACTAAATAATTAAACAAAATTCTGCAAAAATATGATTCTGCTGGGATTTACAGTTTCTCTACAAATGGGACAATTTTTTTGATAACTCAAACTGTCATAAATGCAGTTCCAACAAAATATGTGGCCACAAGGAGTAGAACATGGTGACTGGAGATTCTCTGCACAAAGTACACACGACTTTATTGAAACACTTGTATGAACTACATTCTTTGAGTAATCTCCTTTGTTTTTGAAAAGGAAGAGTTTACTTATCAAACTGAAGAGAATATAAAATAGAGACACGTTCCCTAAAAAATAGAAAGCTCCAGTGAATGAGTCCTTTTGGAGCCAGTCTCTGAGTAAGACCTGAAAGAAAAAAGAAACTAGAATGTTTTGTATTTGATAACTAGATTTAAAGTAAATTTAGAGCGGTGAATAAATAAAAGTGGTAGATGATTTGAAGTCACCTTTAACGATCATATATTTTTCTCTTGAGAATTTGTCTAGTTCAAGGTAAGTCAATTCTGCTACTTTCCATGGCTGACTGGACTGCAAATAGCTGTAGTCGCAAAGTGGCTCGGGAACTTATAAACATGACCTACCCAAAACACTAATGACTGCAGCAGTTCATGGCCTTTGACACAAAAAAATCAGAATAAAGGATAACTTGAGAAGAATTGCAATTGGATACAACACTGAATGCTTATTGAAAGCCATTATTACAGATGCTTTTTATCCATGACCACAACTATAGTCGACCATGGTCAGTGCAAAGTATTTTTCTTACAACTTGGTTGACCGTAGCACCTTGGATCTTAGACTAGGTCTTATCAAGCTAAGAACTCCGAGTTTGTTGAAGGAATGAAAAAATGAAAGTGCAATTTGCAGGACCAGTTTGAAAATAGAATTGATGTAAAACATTCATCGAAAGTATTAGTCATACTACTATTGTCAACTGATGGGTTGTTGTGAATGAAAATCATCTTTTTATGCATGACTAAATCTTGGTCTCATTCATTTTGATTTACTTACATAATGTATTCCTGTAAGCCTGTTTGATATGTTATAGTATTTTCCATCCATGTAGAACAGTGAAGTATGTATTCTCTTGATAGTAGACTTCTCTTCTTTGAATATATCAATACAGCTCAGGAATACTGATTTAGCTTTATCTGTCATGCTAACGGAATTATTTATTTTATTTCTGGAATAGTTCAATAATCTTTCTAATAATGGTTCCCCTCCTACATACAATATTAACCAAAGAGTTTGTGCCTGAAAAACAAACAATCAAAATTTCATCCAACAGTAACTCATATTTTATTCTTTGGGGGAAAAAACCTTTGTTGTTCTACTTCCATCATCAAATAGAAAACTTCTGAAGAAAGTGAGAGCAATTTTAAAAAAACTGCAAGATGTCTGATTCATGCACAGAAATTTCTTTCAGTTATGTTTCTTCCAATGACAAACGGTAGTTGTGAAATGTTGAAGTACACCTGGCAATTGAAAGTGTTTCTTGTGGGTGAAATGTTATAGCAATACCCTTTTATGTATTATGTTGTGTAACAGTCCTGCCTATAATATCTGTTTCAATTTCATTGCTAATGTTCACATATTTCAAAATGGTTGTTTTGGAAGGATTTTTCTTTATAATTGATGTTTTGATTTCTTTTTCTTTCTTTGGAAATTTACCACTTTTCAAATAGTGATGGAGGATATGGCATTTGATCAACTTTCTCCTACTTACAGTCTTCGAAGGTATTTTGCCCATATTACCGACTCGTATAGTACCAGTATATTCTTCTCCCAGGGTTTGCAAATTTCCTAAAGTTGTCATGAAATAATACCATAAATTTGCTAGTAATGGTACAGACTTATTCAGATGATGGTAACTTCTTGAACCCATTAGTTTGAAAAATGAATGCATTTGCTCTTCCAAATCCCTTACAAAAAGTTCATCTCTTTGCGATAGCCGCAAGACGTCTGCCACCTTGGCTTTATAAAGAGTCATTTTTGTACAATGGGGAATATTCCAGTTTCTTGATATCAAAACAATATAAAATTGTAGTCTGACAACATATTTAGGTTACATTTGTGTATTGACTTACAACGCTTGTCAGAAATATCACTTTCAATAAAAAATAGTATGAATTTTATATTTTCTCAAAAAAATATTTGTTATATTCCTAACATTAAAATAAGTAAACATCAATCAAGAAAAATGAAGCTAAAGCGCAAGAGCCCCCTGTCAAACAATTTGCAAACTACTACCACAGAGCACAGAGTTTCGATATTCTGTGCCACTACTGACAGTATTGGCACAGACATAGTAAAAAGATAAAAAATCATTTCTATAATCCGTTCCATTGATGACTTATTTTGTAGAAATTCATGTTGAATATAGGATAAAGAAAATACTTTTGTCTAGTTTCTACTGTGTTTATTTATTCGTTACGACCGGTTTCGGCTTATGAGGCCATTTTCAAGTAACTACTACAAATCAATTCAATTTTTTTTAATTCAATCAATTTTTTGAAAGTGCTTCAATGCTGCATTTAGAGTAGTGCTTTTCGTTTTCTTGTTCTAGACGCAACCAATGTTACAGATAGGGTACCGGTACATTTTTCAACAAAAGCATTACCTTCAATAAATCTGTTGAAACGCTTGGAATTATGAATGAAAGTTCATTTTTTTCATGATACAAAATTGAAAAAAACTCCGAATTTTTAAACCTGTCAAAAGTCCTATCTCTGGCGATACCTTGTAGACAAATGGATCGTTATTTCCCTTGGTTACAATTTTTTACAAAGAGGACGTTTCAGTTGTCAAAATTTAAGCAACGGATGTTTTCTAAGAACTGTTTTTATTATTGTGGTTGATTAGGAGGAAAAAGTCTGAAGTAACTTTTCTATTATCATTGCTAATCGCTGGGATAATATGATAATTATCGTATTCCAAAAACACTTTATTGTGAGATTTTCACTAAATTGTTTTACAAAAACGCAACACGTGTTTCGCCATACAATGGCTTCATCTGGCGTGTCTNATTCCATAAAAATAATCAAAGCTATGAAGATTTACTTAATAGGTTATATCTTTTGAAGCAGAGTAACGAAGAATCCATATGGAGTTTTGAAGAAAGAAAGGAGACCACAGCACTAACATACTGATACACTTGTATTTATCTACTTTTCAGTAGGAAGATAGGAAAAGGTCTTACTTTCTGTTATTTTATCCTACTATTTCATGATAAAACTGAAGTTAACAAAAAAAAAAAAACAGTTTACATGTAACAAATAACAAAGATACTCACATTCTTCATAGCTACAGGTTAATAAAAAAATTAACCCAGTCACTCCAGTCATGGTTAAATCCATAGCGCATTTCGAAAATAACAAAAAAATATCTACGTTATTTAAGAAAAAGAGACCACACCACAAACATAATGAGACACTATAAGTTATGTGTCACAATGCCAACAAATTCACCTATGAATTAAAACATTACAACATTAAAATTTATGAAATTTTAAGTAATAGTTAAATTTTGGCAACACCAGTTCTTTTGGCTCTTATTGTATAATTGTCGTTTCAGACTTACAGAACTATTTTGATTTTATTTTGCATTTTAGCTGTGTTGATGTCAGAAGTTGTGAAATTAGTAACATGCATCGTGTTGGTTTATTTGGAATCAGGTGGCATAGTAAAACTCTTTGAAGCAATTAATAAGCAGATCATCAGGCAGCCTGTTGATACACTGAAAATATGTGTTCCTTCATTTGTATACTTGGTTCAGAACAACTTGCTATATGTATCAGCTTCCCATTTGGATGCAGCAACTTACCAGGTGAGTATTTTTCCAGTATCAACTGCGGAAAACCTAAAATTGTTCTCACCTAATTCTAAAATGGAAAATCAGTAGTGTGAAAATAGATATATATTAACGCACATAGCAAAACTATTTAAAGACATTATCAAAAATATTGATGTCAATAGAATATTAGAAATCATTGGAACCTCTGATGGAAAATGAATCTGATCAAAACTTTTTCCTACACTTGAACTAAAGCTCTGTCTTTCGAGACCAGTTGATGATGCTGTTTGCTTGATGAAATGCACAACGAGAGACAGTGCTCCAATTCTGGTATGGGACAAGTGTTCATGAAATTCAGCCTTAGAGTTCTTTCGGGAAATGCCAACAAATCATTCCATTGCTCTTATCAGACAGAATATTACTTTCTCATGGTTGGTAAAAAATTTTATTTGGGTGTCTATTCAAATATCTTTAATATCGCCAGTTTCAAAAACGTTGAAAAAATATTGAAATTTTTCATGTTAGTAGCCTTTACCGTAAACTTGAGGGGGTTAAAAACTGTTTCTTACTGCTCTTATTACCTCCTCTCATTCTTCATTAAAGGCATTTTGAATAACTGTGAGAACTGGCTGACTCAAAATTGTGATTCGTGGATATTATTAACAGTCAAAAAGCAATAGGAAAAGTTCTACTTTATAAAAGAGTACACTTACGAACAGTTCCTATTTTAGTTCATCTCTGAAGGTTGAAATATTGTCACTGAAGTAACTTTTTCAAATTTGGAAAAAATGTGTTGTACTTTCATAAAATGATTCATAGAAATATAATTTGGCTCAGAATTTGAAAAAAATGTATTCTCGATTGGGGATTATCGAGTGTGGAAATTTTACCATTTGTCCCAAGTGGATTGACAATGTTAGAGGTTCGGACTTTCTTGCTTAAGTTAGCTTCAGCTGACATTTCGTCCATTCATCATAAGGTTATCTTCAATTAACGTAAATACAAATTAGATATCCCTTATCTCTTGTGATGAATAAAGTCGATTATTGTAAGTTTATATATTCAGTAATCTGAGAGAGGGTTTTACTTTGTTTCAAGAATGTTTTATTTTTGCTTAGTTCTTGTCATAAACCTTAATTGATATATTCCATAAAAATAATCAAAGCTATGAAGATTTACTTAATAGGTTATATCTTTTGAAGCAGAGTAACGAAGAATCCATATGGAGTTTTAAAGATAACATAAAAAATATCTATTTCTTATTTAAAGAAAGGAGACCACAGCACTAACATACTGATACACTTGTATTTATCTACTTTTCAGTAGGAAGATAGGAAAAGGTCTTACTTTCTGTTATTTTATCCTACTATTTCACGATAAACTGAAGTTAACAAAAAAAAACAGTTTACATGTAACAAATAACAAAGATACTCACATTCTTCATAACTACAGGTTAATAAAAAAATTAACCCAGTCACTCCAGTCATGGTTAAATCCATAGCGCATTTCGAAAATAACAAAAAAATATCTACGTTATTTAAGAAAAAGAGACCACACCACAAACATAATGAGACACTATAAGTTATGTGTCACAATGCCAACAAATTCACCTATGAATTAAAACATTACAACATTAAAATTTATGAAATTTTAAGTAATAGTTAAATTTTGGCAACACCAGTTCTTTTGGCTCTTATTGTATAATTGTCGTTTCAGACTTACAGAACTATTTTGATTTTATTTTGCATTTTAGCTGTGTTGATGTCAGAAGTTGTGAAATTAGTAACATGCATCGTGTTGGTTTATTTGGAATCAGGTGGCATAGTAAAACTCTTTGAAGCAATTAATAAGCAGATCATCAGGCAGCCTGTTGATACACTGAAAATATGTGTTCCTTCATTTGTATACTTGGTTCAGAACAACTTGCTATATGTATCAGCTTCCCATTTGGATGCAGCAACTTACCAGGTGAGTATTTTTCCAGTATCAACTGCGGAAAACCTAAAATTGTTCTCACCTAATTCTAAAATGGAAAATCAGTAGTGTGAAAATAGATATATATTAACGCACATAGCAAAACTATTTAAAGACATTATCAAAAATATTGATGTCAATAGAATATTAGAAATCATTGGAACCTCTGATGGAAAATGAATCTGATCAAAACTTTTTCCTACACTTGAACTAAAGCTCTGTCTTTCGAGACCAGTTGATGATGCTGTTTGCTTGATGAAATGCACAACGAGAGACAGTGCTCCAATTCTGGTATGGGACAAGTGTTCATGAAATTCAGCCTTAGAGTTCTTTCGGGAAATGCCAACAAATCATTCCATTGCTCTTATCAGACAGAATATTACTTTCTCATGGTTGGTAAAAAATTTTATTTGGGTGTCTATTCAAATATCTTTAATATCGCCAGTTTCAAAAACGTAAATAATTAAACAAAAT